AGATTTAATGCCTATTCCTTATTGGGCTGTGGTACAATTTAAAAAAGTACCTTCAACGATGACCCAGTCAGGGCTTACTAATTAGGATGGTATTAGGTCACCGTTTTTGGCTAAACAACGTAACTTTAGGGGATGTGGGATACAGTTACAGGAGTGAAGGGCACACTGTCCTGCGGGGAAATGCAGGCTATGCACAGTGCATATGAAATATGTCGCGGCTTCTCCCATGTCTCAGGCTCACGAACTGGACGATGAATATGATCCTCTCCTCGATCCTACGCCAGCCCCACTCTTAATACGAAAACGAAGCCTAAGTGAAGGATAGGGCTGGCAACTGTAGCAGTAGCAGCGATCGCAAACCCTAATCCCTTCAATCTCCTGTCTTTTGTACCTCATCCTAACTTTGACACAAAAGGCCCAAAGCCGTGGGACTACTGCCGTAAGAAAGCCAGCAAATAAGGAACTATTCGACTAAAAGGTCAATGGCCTGCCATCTTGATTCTGAAATCCTAAAGCCCCAAAGATTCAAATCCTACGTTGTGCGAGCCAAGCACTCCGAACAAAAACGACCCATAGTGACACTCTTTAGCTCCTGCATGTTCCCCTAGCCTGCAGCTACCCAAATAATGTATTAATAGTGGGTTCTAGGTTCTATATACCCTATAGTTACATAGCCCAGTAACCTTCTTCATAGGGTAACTGGGAGCCCTGGGGATCTGCATGTTTTCTTCAACACAACCCAACCCCCGGGCGCCCGCACACCGGGGTTGCCACGACCGTGGCCTGTGTTGAACAAACTCATGGTGAGACTCTTGGGTTTAGGGTTTAAAGTTTATGGGTTTAGGGTTTAGGGTTTAGGGTTTATGGATTTCCGGATTAACCAAAATATGAGACATGGAAGGGTTGTCCTCAAAACCAAGCACTTTCTAGATAAGAACCCTAGTCTACAAATAGCGGCTGTTTGGCAGCCACTCTATCTTATTTTCCTAGGTAGGTCCATTATCCAACACGGGTGTTCTTAATAGAAGAAGTAGTGTGGAATAAAGATTATAGTGGGCCCCCCACCCTGTGACAGTGACTAGTATGAGGGATAATAGTGAATATATTCCAGGCCTTTCATGTTCCTAGTATACCACAAGTACAAGGTGAGGGGTCCACCTAACATACATTACCTGAAAGTTTTCCTAGACCCTAACCCCTAAACCCGAAAACCTCAACCCTAAACCCTAAACCTTAAACCTTAACCGGTATAACTGGAACATTTTCCCACCTTTCTTATTTCCGGCTGTTCGGCCACCAAGGCTTGGGCTCAGGGAACGGGATCAAGGGCGCGTTGTTCGAAGATGAGGGATGAGGGGGTTTCCCGAAATTAGGGGTTACATGGGGTTTAGCGTTTAGGCTTGGGAATTTATGGTTTAGGGTTTAGGACTAAGGGCTTAAAGTGTAGGGTTCAGGGGGCCTAACTTAATGGTATCCACACTGAACCAAGAACGAAGACAGGCCTGCATGGTATGTCCAGTATTCTGCCCCAAAACCCCAGAGCCTAAACACCAACCCTCAATGCAAAACTCTAAGCCCTAAACCCTAAATCCTAAATCCTAAAACCTAGACCCTCAATCCTAGATCCTAAACCCTAACTTCTAAACCCTATATCCTACAGCCTAAGCCCAGGCGTCTCGGTGCCTGTTCTCTTGGCATCCTTATTGCCATCCGAACCTGAGGCAAGAGGCATGGGCTTCAAGATGATAGGCGACCGCAGGGTCAATGATGACATCCTTCAACAGCGTGTCAAGAGGCAGACTGCCAGACGCATTACGTTTGACGGTGGATGTAAGCCCGGCCATGCGCAGGAAAGCAGCTCTGTCCGCCCGGATCACTTGCTGAATACACACTTTTGCATATCCAGGAGGAGACGCCTCCTGGAGTCGCTGAGCCAAGGCTTGATGATATTTGTTAACAATCTTGAAGCTGGCAACGCCAATGAGGTCAAAAGCCAGTGCCCTACGCCTCAAGGCCATGACCAGGTCCAACTCTGAGGCCAGATTACAAGTCATGGCCCAAGCCCTACACCCCCTTTTTTCCCCGGGCTGAGAACTCAAGGCTTAGGTTTGGGGATTGACGGCTTGAGGGTCTGCTATGGGTACCTCTCTGCTCTGTTTGCTACCTTCAGATCTATGCAGGTGCCTTACAGATAGAGTTTAGGGTTCAAGGTTCAGGAATATAGTGTTCAGGGTTTAGAATTATGATTCTGAGAGGAGTTTGGCAACCATGACCCCCAAATGATCAGTAATCTGAGAACTACATGGGATCCTAAACCCTAAACCCTAAACCCTATTACTGTTGCGAATTCATCTCATGGCAAGGACTCAAGCACAGCCCTGCGTTGAGACGTTCCTCCTTCAAAGTCTAAAGTTGTTGAGTTCGAAGGTTCCGGGGTTCCACCCTAAGCCCTAAACCCTAAGCCCTCAGCCCTGAACTCTACAAGTAGGTTCTATACATCCGCCTTCCCAGGAGAGGCTTAGGGAGGTTTAGGGTTAGGGTACCTTAAGCTCTGAGTCATCAACCCCCGATTACGGCCCAAAGCTCTCAGTCCAAAATGCTCAACCGAAAGCTTCCACCTTGGCCTCGAAAACATTCTATGTTGGGGCTTAGGGCTTAAGGTTTCAGTAAACACCCCTCACCACTTCCCCTAACATCCAACATTTGCACAAAAGCCCCCAATAGATCAGGTCCGTTATGGTGAACACTTTGTGCCGGTGGAAGCGGGGATCTTTGTTGGGGGGACAAGGAATTTGTGGCATCCCGACTGTGCTGAGGCTCTGACTACAGGTTGCGCCTGGACTGGAATGGCCGTGACCTTTGGGCAGGTTTGGGCAGCTTACTGTTGTTAGGGTTTGGGCTTCAGGGGTCCGACCCCTAAACACTAAACCCTGAATCTCCCTAAAACCCCAAAACCCGAACAGTTACAGGGTTCCACATGGTGGAAGAGTTCCTTCATCAAAGGGTCTCTTACATGGACGTTGGAACATTTCTGTTCAGAGGTTTAAGGGGACTACAGGGGAGTACTCATATCGCAGGTCCAGACTCTTGCATGACATGAAAGCGACAGACATGTAGGTTCAAGGCCTTGGCTTTACGTAGGCACGTGCGCATGCAATCTTACAAAACACAGGTGCGCGTGCCTCTTCTCTCAGGTACACAATTAAACTAGGCCTTACGCTCGCACGACCGTTGAAAGAAGACTTCTGGATCTCGGTGTTTGCAACGAAACACTTCAGGAGTTTCTGGCCTGTGCTTGCTGTGACGGATTATCATTGGCAACCCCTGCTTGGAGGGTCAGGGGGACTAAGTAAGTAGGTTAATAATGAGAATAGCTAGGGTTACTTTGGGCGAATTATAGGCATTGTTAGCCTACATACTAAGTCTTCAAGACCTTCCAAGTAAGCCCTAGATCACTAATGAAGCTCTGGGCGACTTTGGCGGGCCCATGGTCAGAACTGTGGCATCTAACCCAGATGGGCGGTTATCAAAACAGGGGGCCGTAAGGGACCGAAAAAACACAGGGTGACTACAAAGTGATTATGGGGGGGGGTCTCCCTACTGGCGATTCTTTAGGAGACTTTTGGAGGAGCACCTAAAAAATGGGAGTCCCCCTCATATCCCCGACTTCTCGTTATCCCGTCAAGGGACATCCCCCAAAAAGGCCACCATAAGAAACAAGAGTAATAAGGGCTTCCTTTTAAGGGGTTATAAGAATGGATCGCAGCATTATGGGTTCTACTAACCATCACCCCCATACGACCCCTGCTAGGTTCACCCTAACGTAGCCTTAGACAATCCTTCTCCTCCTTCAAAAACCCTAATGTAGGGGTAACCTAGGGTGGGGAAACCCGAGACCCCAAATCCTAACCCTCAGCATTATATGGGGGCTGGGGGTAATCCATCAGTCCGGCTGGAACCCTGTAAGCAAGGGAAGTTGGGGGTCGCTTTTTGCGGGTCGCTCCAACAAAAAATGATGACATTTTGGGGTTTATACTGTGGTAAACAACCCAGTAAATCCCTAATCCCCACCCTAGATTCCTGTCCGAAATCCCTGCCTTCAACCCTAAACGCTAGGTTCGGTCCTCATTCCCCTCTAACCCTGAAAACTTACACCCCGAATGCTATAACCCTCAGTGTTGAACCCTCAACCCTGAATCCACAACCCTAAACCCTGAACCCTAAACCATAAGCCTAAATCCCTAAACCCTAAACCCTAAAACCCTAAAACCCTAAACTCTTAATCCAAAATCCTAACCCAAAACCCAAAACC